GTTATCCTGGAGGTTTTTTGTCATCTTCTGGGTTTGGAACAGTGGTCAATGCATGTGTGGATAGGAGATATTTGTGAATTTTCTGCATTGTGCAGAGGGGTGGACTAGATGACCCTTCCAACTCTATGATTCTATATACTACTGTAGATCAACAGTCTGTCCCAGTCTCCCATAAAAGCTGTTGAAAATATACTTGCAATTCTAAAGACAGCCACTATGGCATAGGGATTAGAATTATGAGTATAACTGTAGAAGACCTAGACTAAAACCCTTAAACTCAGAGTGGCCTTGAGCAGCCACAATGGAGTTATTTTACAAAACTCCAAATGAAGCAGTAAGCCTGTATGTGGAAGTAACACTGTAAAATTTAAGAGGCGGATTGTTGTTATTGTTGTTGTTCAGTCGCACAGTCGAGTCCGATTCTTCACGACCCCATGGACCACATCACACCAGGCCCTCCTGTCCTCCATCATCCTCCAGAGTTTGCTCAACTCCATGTTCATTGCACTGATAACACTGTCTAACCATCTCATCCTTTGCTGTCCCCTTCTTCTTTGACCTTCAATCTTTCCCAGCATCAAGGTCTTCTCCAGTGGATGCGCCATTCTCATTTGGTGGCCGAAGTATTTGAGCTTCAGCTTCAGTATCTGGCCTTCCAGGGAATAGTCAGGGTTGATTTCTTTTAGGATTGACTGATTTGATCTCCTTGCAGTACAAGGGACTCTCAAGACTCTTCTCTAGCACCATAATTTAAAAGCATCTATTCTTTGCTTTGACCATACGGACTTTTGTTGGCAGGGTGATGTCTCTACTTTTTATTATGCTGTCTAGGTTTGCCATGGCTTTCCTCCCAAGGAGCAGGTGTTTTTTAATTTCATGGTGTTTTTTAATATCATGGCTGCAGTCACCGTCTGCAGTGATCTTGGATCCCAGGAACGTGAAGTCTGTCACTGCTTTCATGACTTCCCCTTCTATTTGCCAAGGAGTGATGGGGCCAGATGCCATGATCTTAGTTTTTTTGATGTTGAGTTTCAAGTCAACTTTTGCGCTCTACTCTTTCACTCTTTGCAAGAGGCTCTTTAGGTCCTCCTCAGTTTCTGCCATTATGTCAGAGTCCCAAGTAAATCAAGCTCAACACCGTTCCTTTATTAAGGTTCAGTTTATTGAGGAAAGTACTCAGGTCATCATTCGACACAATCTGTGTCAGGAATGAGGGGTCAGGCGGGGACCCAAACAATTATACCCAGTTCAAAGAGGGGCCCCTGATAGATATGAGCCAATAAGCATAAGCAAGCAAATGTGCTCAGAAAAACTGCCCGAAGCTCCCAGCGGGAAACAGCAGGACGGTCGAGCAAGTCTCCAAGGCCACAGCAGAGATAATGGGAAGAAACCTGAAGTGCATTCCAGCAAACCCATGGCGGCATTAGCCGACACATTAATGGGTGGATTACATGACTGAATATATATACATTCCTGAACATAGAGAACTGGATGCCATGATGATGGTTTGTAGCCTAGCCTTCCATTTTACATGCTTGTTTTCTATATACAGAAATAATTTTCTGTGGCACAGCAGGGCTTTCAATCATTCCAACTACCCTACCTCTTCCCAGATGGCTTTGGCACTAGGTTAAAGTTCTGTTCTTTAGTGTGGTTTTCAGACCCGAGCAGTGTTCCCTCTAAGCTGAGTTAGTGTGAGCTAGCTCACAATTTTTTAGCCTCCAGCTCACACATTTTTGTCTCAGCTCAGGAAGGATGGCTCCAGAGCAAACTAAGTGATGCAGTAGCCAAATCGCTTGCTCACAACTTTAATGCCAGCAGCTCACAAAGTAGAATTTTTGCTCACAAGACTCCACAGCTTAGAGGGAATATTGGACCCGAGTTAAATTTACCTGCTGATGTTGTTTTCTGCATGGGTCTCTTGCCTTAGCTACATTATTATATGCTTTTGTAGGTTTAAAGTGTTATAACCAGAACCAAGCTAAAAATTATCTAATCATGAGCTTTTTGTGAGAATTAGGCTTAGCTACATTATTATATGCTTTTGCCTTAGCTCTTGCCTTAGCTACATTATTATATGCTTTTGTAGGTTTAAAGTGTTATAACCAGAACCAAGCTAAAAATTATCTAATCATGAGCTTTTTGTGAGAATTAGGCTGATGCCTCAAGCCTTGCCTACCTCACATAGTTTTCCAACAATAAAATTAGAATGCCATAGAAACCAGGGTTGCTATGCAGAGGTGGGCAATGGTAAACCGCCTCTCAATGTCTCCTGCCTTAAAAACCCTACAGAGTTGCTGTAAGTTGGCTACACCCTGATGGCAAAAAAACTAAAAACTACCCTGGGAGTCCTGAAAAAGAGTGAAATACAGATCTGCCACACACACAAAAAGCCACAAACCACACAACAACACTATACACCCTAACAAATACTATTTTCCCAACAGTTCAATTCTAACCATGTTTACTGGGAAGTAAACTACACTGGCCCAGACCTGTATAGCCCAGACTAACCTGATCTCGTCAGATCGCAGTAGTTATGCATGGTCAGCCCTGGCTGATATTTGGATGGGAAACCCCCAAGGAATACCAGGGTCGCAACATGGAAGCAGACAATGGCAAACCACCTTTGAATGTCTCTCGCCTTGAAAACTCTATGGGGTTGTTATAAGTCAACTATGACTTGACAGCAACAACAACAAGCAACACCAATTTCAACTGGATTCTTTTCCCAAGTGCACTTGTACTGTAGATAAAGGCTTGGATAAACCAGTAATTCCACGGGAGGAAGGGATACCTGTATGTAGTGTGACCTCCTTGCCTGCCCCCTTATTGCTGCATCCCAAAGGCCCCCCAATCCTGACCCTGGGGGACAAGGGAACCCAAAGAATAGCATAAGGGGGTAAACTGAAAGTGTGCTACAGGACAAGGGAATCAGCAGAAATCACTCCCATCTTCCATCTGCGATACCCATCTATGGAATCCATCCCAAAGTTTATGATCACCCTTCCTGATTATGATGCATCCAGGGGTTGTCAACTGCCCAGAGGAAAGCTTTAATAAAGGCTCTATATTATGTTAGTTGCTCTGGCCTGGATGGTTAAGGCTAGTCTAATCTTGGCAGATCTCAGAAGCTATGCAGGGTCAGCCCTGATCAGTACTTGGATGGGACACCACCAAGGAAATCCAACCTGGCTGCGAGGTGACGACACATGCAACACATACACACAGTGTTCGTTACAGGTGATATTACTTAATTGTATATCATGGAAAGTTTCAGCTGCTCATTTCCCCTCATTAACCCTCTATCAAAAGGAACAAGACATTTTTCTCCAGGCCTGTGGGCAATTCTTGCTGTACTGTATTCCAAACATCAGCCCCAGTTCTTCCTCCAGACGAAGGAAATGCCATGTTCACTGTAATTATATGTGCATATACAATTCTTGCATTATGTTTTGTTGATAATAGTTGGCAGATTTGTGAGGGTCTTCTTTTTCCAACATTTTATTTATACGTATTAAAATTATATATTAAATTGATATTTGTTATTTTTGTTAAATAATTTTTGGCACAGAAAGAAATGAAAATTATACAGGTTATAGAGGAGTAGCAGAACCAGAAGGACAAAAAAAAACCCTGGAGAGCTGCATAGACCAATTCATCTTCAGCTACCAAAAACATGCCGGGACACTATACCATCACAGATTTTCACACAATGCCTATGCTACTTTTTAAGCAACTAATTACCAATGAAATTCTCATGATTCCAGACTCTTGATTGTATGGTATGGGTAAATGTGATCAGCCCAGTCTCTGAACTGAGATTGCATGCTAGCTCTTTTATCCTCCAGTGTTATCTAATGAGATCCCATGGAGAGAAACCTGTTTTAGATATGAAAGACTAGGATTCAATGCCCATCTTTCTCAAGGAGTCACTGTGCAAGGCACTATGATCTCTCAGATTCAGCTCCTCTTCAGAAAATACAGCAACTGTGACCTACCTCACAGGGCTGTCATGAAGAGAGTTACAAGTACTTTGCAAGTCAAAAGCAGAAGAAATGGTCTGATAGGTCCATGAATGCTGATAACTGCAGCAGATTCCAAATGTCATCAACTTCTTAAACTGTGAAGAAGGACACTAGTAATATTTGGGAAGTTTAAGCAGAAAAGCAGCAGGATGATGTCCCCCCCCCCCCCACAATCCAAAATTCTTGAGCTGTGAAAACTGATAATACACATTCCCATTGTGTAGTCCAACCCAAGGAGTTCGTTGTGATCACCTTCCATTTGCAAAGAAAGCAATTAGTGGGGTGGGGGAGACGTGGCTTATACAGACAGCATTAAACACATCCAGTTTCTTTTAGCTGCAAGGAATCGTTCTAACACTGAACAGACAAATTCGCATTTTAAAACGCATTAAGAACTTGCATTCAGCCCTCCGACACAGATCAAACCACAATCTGAGACAACCTGTCAGAAGTACAGATTTTAGGATGAGCAATAGACATATCATAAACAGGCTTCAACCAACGCAGTTATCGATTTTTTTTAAAAAAGGCAACTGCTCCTTTTTATTTAGGTGACACTCATATGACTCGTCCCACAAATGGAAAAGCGTCACACTCGGGGCTGTTTACATTGTACGGAGTTTGTCCACTTCACAGGGGTACACAGGCAATGTCACCCCAGAAGATTCGTGAATGATACCACTGGTTCAGGCCCTCCACCAGTTCGCTTTAACGTGTCACGACCCCGTAGGGTGAGGGGCTCGGAGAACGCAGCGCTTCCCGGGGCAGAAAGCAAGTCGGGCCTTAGAAAAGGTCCTCCGCAGGCCTACGCTCAGCCCTCCCACAAAGCACAGCCAATGAACTTGTTCAGTCAAGACACCCTTCCGGAGCAGCGCCCCCCCCC